CCTTCCCAATTTTGAACCATGCAGTGCTCCCTTGCTCTGTTCTGACGACTGCCTCCTGGTCCAAGTATAAGTTTCGCATTAGAACGATCAAGTGTTCTTGGATTCCCATTCTTCTCAGAGTCAGCCATAGTTTGTTATGATCTACACAGTCAAATGCCTTAGCTTTTAGAAATTTAAAAAAACAAACCTGCTGAAGGTAGGAGGCTTTCAATTAGAACTAGAAATGTTCATAATTTTTTAAAAGAGTTTACTTGACAGTACTTGCCTACCCCTGCCTTTGCTCACTGGGGGAAGCACATGCCTCATTAGGTATGTAAAGGGCCACAAACTCTCCCTGCTCTTTCCGATGTCCTCTTCTTACATGTGTAGAAGGTTCAGATAGCAAGGCAGGGATGCAGAAGGACTTTGGTTGGTCTGCTTTCTTTTTGGCCCTATTCTGGTCAGACTTTGCTCCACTGGGGTTCTCCAAGTCAGTGCTCTCTTTTGTTAGCGTCTTGCTCCTTAGTCTAGGGTCTGTTGGCCACTTTGAAGAAGAGCCAGTGGAGTGAAAATGACAGTATTTGGAATCCTGGCTGATTTTCACTATGACCACAGCTCACTGAACTTCACTTTTAAAATTTGTAACAAGAATATAATAATACTTCGCAAGATTCTAGGGAAGTATTGCTTGAAATACTAGCATTGAGCTAGGTATGCAGTAGGAACTTAAAAATTGTTTTATTCAACTTGCCTCCATCCCTTCCCTCATCTTCTCTCAGCCTTCTCACTGATCTAATTTTATCTTCTTAGTCTCCATTTCTGTCCCCTTTATTTCTGAGTTCCTGCAACAGCAAATGGCATCATTATCCACTCTGATCCCCTGTTCTTACCAGCGACTTGGAGTCACTCTTGCTCCTCCTCCCGCTTCACAGCTGCACTTCTTTCACCCCATTGCCAAGTCCTTTCCATTCTTCTGCCCTCTAAATACCTCTGAAATACGTTTCTCTATCCATCTCCAACTTCCAATCCCAAGGAGCCCTGGCACTTTGTTAATCTATTGCCATTACTCCTTGAAACCACATAGTGTCGCTCTTGAGTTCCTCCTGTCTGCTTGCCTGATGTTACTGTTTCAGAATCAACAGCACTGCAATGTCCTGGCCTGTCATACTCTAGAAAGGCCTTTTTGAAAAGGATGGGTTCACATCTTCAATGTTCTATTAAACTAAGGGCGCCCCTTCAATAGTTTCCCTAACCCTGAGTCTCAGTCTCAATTCTTAGCGCGCAGGGCCATATTCTGCAAGCCTCCAAAATCATCTTGATTACGTCTCTAGTGTCTCTGGAACTTTTACCATCTCAACACAATAAAACATCAGGCTTCCGGAGTTTGAATCCTCTCTCAACCATGTATTAGCTTAATTGATAAAGTTACTTAATCTTTCCAAGCCTCTGGCTTCTTAGCAATGTTGTTGTTGTTATGTGCCCCTCTAGTAACCTGTGACCTGTAGTGACCCTATCTACAGTAACTCTGAAGCTTGTCCAGTCCTGAGCCAGTCTCTCTGATTCTGACACATCTACCTCCCTTACACTAGTTACTGTATCAATCCATCTCATCCGAAGTTTTCCTCTTCTGTGCTGTCTCTCCACCCCTCTGAGCATGATGCCCTTCGCCAAGGACTGATCTCTCCTGGACACATGCCCAAAGTATGTGAGATGGAGATTCAAAATCCTAGCCTTCAAGGAGAAACTTGGTTTTACTCTCTCCAAGACAGACCTATTTGTTTTCTTGGTGGCCCATGATATGTTCAAGACTCTTCTCCAGTACCACAACTCAAAGGCACCGATTCTTCTTCTATCATTCTTAGTCATTGTCCTGATCTCTGATGCAGCAAGTAATTGTGAAGACCATGGCCTGGATCGGGAGCACCTTAATCTCTAGACTGACACTGTGGCTTCTCAGGACTCTGGAGAGATTTCTGACAGCTCATTTTCCCAATGCAATTCATTTTTTGATTTCCTGACTCCTGGTGCCAAGAGGGTTGATTGTGGAGTTGAGCAAGCTGTAACTGTTAACAACCTCAAACTCTTCTCCGTCTATCCTGGTGCTGCCAATTGGCCCAAAGGTGAGAATTTTTGTCTTTTGATGTTGAGTTTCAATCCATGTTGACATCTTACCTATAGAGTCAATAATAGTATCCACCTCAAAGTAGTTTTGTGACAATTAGAGAATACAGGTAAAGTACTTGAAATAGTGTCTGGCACTATAGAGTAAACATATTATACCATCTTTCATGGTGTACTATATATTGTATTCCCATATTATCCTGGAGAAAGTGAAACTGGGGTGTTCCTTGGGGGAAAAGATAGTGAAATGCTATCTCACATAGTTTGCATTTTTTTAGGGGGAGCCAGGTCTTGGAGTACTGAGAAGCCATAGTGTCAGTCTAGAGACTAAGGTGCTCCTGATCCAGGCCATGGTCTTCACCATACTTCATCATACTTAGAAAGGTGGAGGGCCAGTGAAAGAGAGGAAGACCTCCAACAAGATATTACAGTGACTGTCACAGTGGACTCAAACGTGTCAGAAATGGTGAGGATGACACAGAATAGGGCCAGGTTCAGATGATTGTTCATAGGGTCGCTATGAGTCAGAGCCAATTTGCCAGCACCTAACAACTATGTGCTTATTTCTGTGGCTTATTGTTGAGGAATTACACTGCCAACCCAAAGGCCCAAGGTTTGAACCTACAAGCTGCTTCATAGAAGAAAGATGGCAGTCTTCTCTTGTGTGATTTATAGCCTCTGAACATCCCAGACAGCTATTGTCAGTTCTGACTCAAGGGCACATACAACAACAACAATAGGCTTACTTTA